TTAAGTACTTCATGATCTACACTAATTAAGCAAATTGCATATAAAGTGACATCATTTAAATCATAAGAAAAATGAAACTAATAATTATATTTTTAAAAGTAATTATAAAAAGCATTGCCATGGAAAGTGTGAAAATGTGTTAATAATTGCATTTTAATTTTTTAAAATCTCACCCCACAGATAAGCAACAAATGCCTTAACGATAGCATCTGCTTAATTCGATTTTCTAATATTTCATAGAATAAAGATAGCAATGTACAAAAACAATTACAGCCTCCATAGCCTTAATCATTTGTCATGACAAATGGACATTTATAAATGCATGTTATCATATAGAAATATAAATAAATGAAGATACACACTTCAGTTTCTCTAATCTGCATTGTTTGTTTTCCAGCAGACGACAGATCTTCTCAATTCCTGAGTTTCCGAGTTTATTTCCACTCAGATCCAGCTCTATCAGGTTTGAAGGATTTGAATTAAATGCTGAAGTCAGAGCAGCACAACCTTCTGCTGTAATACTGTTATTATTCAACCTGCAGAGAAAGAAAAAGAGATGAAATATTCTTATATTAAAATATACTTTTTCTTATTTGTAAGTCGCTTTGGATAAAAGCGTCTGCTAAATGACTAAAAGTAAAGTAAAGTAAATATTCTTCAGTTCATCTCAAAACCTTCTTTAATGAACAGCAATGACATTCTTCAATGCTTTTGCTTGTATTGTTGTTATTTGAAAGCTGCTCTTGTATCTGCTAAGTTAATAAATGCAAAATGTTCACCTTATCCAGTTATTGAATGTAAAACATAAAAGAAAATGTTATATATTAAAGATACTTCGGCTTCACTTTATATTAGGTGTCTTTGACTACTATGTACATACAGTACAAATAATAAAAATATTAATTGTTAGGTACAATGTACTTATTGTGCTCAAGGTAATATAAATGACATCTGTTCATCATATGAAGCAATCAAGTCTCTTCAGAAAATTTGGACTAAACCAATCAATTCATATGGATTAGTTTTATGATCTTTTCATGAACTTTTTGAAGCATCAAAATGGTAGTCGTCCAGACTGTCAATGGAGGGACAGAAATTGCTCAGATTTCATTAATCAACACAAACTCAGCACACCTGAAAAAACGATAGGTGCATAGGAAAAATAGTCTATAATAGACAACACTGTCAAATCAAAAATATAAAAAGATGCAATCTTGCATCTTTTTATAATTCAGATTTCATTTAAAAAATATCTTAATTTGTGTTCCGAAGAAGAACGAAAGTCTTACGAGTTTGGAATGACACGAGGGTGAGTAAATGATGACAGAATTTTAATTTTTGTGTGAACTATCCCTTTAAATGTGACGCATATATAAAAAATACATTCATGCATTTGCAAAATTTTGATGCTGCTTAAATTGTCTCCATTTTTAATCATGCTGTATTATCTGCTCCACAATCTCGTATATATACTGTTCTTTTACTGAAGCTCTCTCTGCACCTATACCTTTCTGGCAGTCATTTGACTTGTGCTTGGCGCTGAGGCAAAGTTCAGTGCACGCCTAAAACATCTGTAATGTGGCTGTAAAGAGACAGTTCTATGTCTAAATAAGTCAGAAACAGCAGTTGTGAGCAGGTGGTCAAAGAGGTGGCCAAGAGAACTTTATCAATTTAAATGTTAGTACATAGTGGCTGATAACGCTTAATATAAAGAGGGCCCAATACTTCCAAAACAAAGTATACATTTGAAACTTATGTGAAATACTCACTGAAGTTTGTTGAATTGACAGTGTTTGTCCTCCAGTAGAGCAGCGAGATAATTCACTAATTTTATGTCAAGTTTATGTCCACTCAGATTCAGCTCTCTCATAAATAAGGGTTTTCTACCCATAATTCCAGTCACATACTGACAGGCTTTCTCTGCAGCAGGACTCAAAAACCTGGAGAAGAGAAGATGAAGCAGGATTCAATTCAACAGAACTTGATGTAATCATCAATAGTCAGTTTTTAAAACAGCACAATTAGTTGTTGGAACAAAGTTAGTGAAATAAAATTTATATGAATAATTAACCTCCATATCAGGTGAATTTTGTATCATTTGTATCATTATTTTGTATAATTTGATCACGTCTCACCTCAGTGTCTTCAGCTGACAGTTTGGATCCTGT